AGTTTGGATATTTTGAGGACCTAGAAAAATTTACTCTAAAACATATGCAGAACAATATAAGTACATGTATAAGCGCTGATAAAGTTATTATTTCAAGCAAAAAAGTTTTTAAATGTCCAGTGAGAAGCTAAACCAATTTTTTTTTTTTTTTTTGGTACCGGAGATCGAACTCGGGACCTTGTGCTTGCAAGGCAAGCAGTGAAACCACTGAGCTAAATCCCCAATCCTCCAGTCCTTTTTTGAGACAGGGTCTCACTAAGTTCCCTAGACTGGCCTTGAACTTTCAGTTCTCCTACCTCAGCATCCTGAGTGGCTGGATCAGAGGTGTGTGCCACCACATCTATCAATTTAATGTCTTTTCCTAAGAATGTAATTTGAGTTTTGCTGAGGCTTTGTATTTCAGGAGGGCACCCAAAATGCTAGTCTAGCCAAGTGTGGTGGTGCGCGCCTGTAATCCCAGCACTTGGGAGGTTCAGGAGGATTGCCATGATTTCAGGGCCAGCCTCTGATACATAGCAAGTTCAAGGCCAGCCTGGACTACATAGCAAGACCCTGTCTCCAAAAAAACCCCCATAAAACCAAAAAACAAAATGCCAATCCATGGAACAGCCACTTCATCTATCAGTTTGTGTAGTTCTCATGGATTTATGGCTGGTGATGCAGAAAAAGATCAGGCTATGCTGGAAGCATAGTCATCTCCTGGGACACCCCACCCCCAACCCCCTACCCCAGTGTGGCAACCACCATGGATCTCAGTACCAAGGCTTCCTTGCCTTAAACTCCTGTTGACAGAAGTACTGTTCTGTTTCAGCCTGAGCTACTGCTCTGAACCTGCTTCAGCTCACAATTCCTTTGGGGACTTCAGATACCTTGGCTGCTTTTTATCCTGCAGCAGCTGCTGGGTCCCCTGCAACTGACTGTCCGTGGCTGCCACAACCCAGGCTCGCTCGGGCAGCTTAACTCAGTTTGATGGCCAGCTGACCAGGCCCTATCTTTTGCCTTTCTTTGTGGTTTTGTTTTAATATGTTTTGTGTGTGTGTGTGTGTGTGTGTGTGTGTGTGTGTTTTGCTATACTAGCAATTGAACCTAGGACCTTATGTATGCTAGGCACATGCTGTACCACTAAGTTACATCCTTACCCTCTTTTAGGATATTTTTGGTAAATAGCACTTTTCTGGGTTTCTTTTTAAGAGTGTGTCTTTTCATGAGAAATACAGATCCTCCCATGATGTGATAGCTGAGGATGTTATTCATCCCTTTTCTCTTGCTGTAAGATTCTAATTCTTTTTCCTTTTGGTGATTTCTGCTGGCTCCATCAAGTTGCAGTTCTCCCTGCTCAGCCTAGTGTCAGTCTCAAAGTTCCAGTGATCCATGACATTCACTGGCAGGCAGTATTCCTTTCCTGGTCCCAGGGTCCTGTCACAAAACTCCTGCTTTGACTATTGTCAGTATTTACTGCATGCTGTCCAGCTCCCTCATGGGCTTGTTATATCCTAGCACAGGTGAAAGTAAATAGATACTTGTTTACTGAAGGACTGCAAAGCCACTATCACACTGTTTTTTACTTCTTTTTGGTTTTTGCTTTGTTTTTGTGGTGCTAGAGCTTGAGTGCAGCCTCATACATGCTAGGCAAGCACTCTGCCACTGAGCTGTATCTCCATCCCCTCATCACACTTTAACCCACACTGCAAGGAAGGGCAAGAACCTGGGTGGGTAAGTAAGTATGCATAGAACCTCGAGACCTGAAATCTAGTTACTTGATGTTACACTGTGGGGTTATGAGGAGCAGTCCATGTTGTAGGACAGATCAGGCAAGCATGTCTGACTGATAGTAACTTCCACGTTGGCCTGCAAAGTACTGTATAGCTGTGGCCTTTGTCTGCAACTCTGTGGCATGGACATGTGGGGACCTGTGGCATCATACAACTATGCTTATGCCTGTGACTTGATCTTGCGCTCCTCTATCTTGGGTTCACTTACTTGCCTGTTCTGTATACACTGAGGACATATAGGGCCTGTCCAAGGTTTGGGATTCTGAGACTTCTCATGTTAGGGTCTCATCTGTCATGGTTTGTTTGTTTGTTATGGGTTTTTTGTTTTTGTTTTTGTTTTGATACAGGGGATGGAACTCGTGACCTTGTGCTTACGAGGCAGGTGCAGTGCCACTAAGCTAAATCCTGGCCCTTGTTTTGTTTTTTGAAATAGGGTCTCACTATGTGGTTCAGGCTAGCCTTGAACTCACTATGTAGTACAGGCTGGCCTCAAATTCATGATGATCCTCCTGCCTCAGCCTCCTGAGTACTGGACTTACAAGTGGGTACCACCACACCTGGCTCCTGTTTGCTTTTTAAATGATTTTTAAAATTACTTTTTTGAGATGGGGGGTCCCTCTATCCTGCCCAGGCTGGCCTCGGACTCCTGGGTTTAAGCATCTTCCTGCCTCAGGCTCCTGAGTAACTAGAAATACAGATGCACACCTCTATGCCCAGCCCTGTTTGTTTTTTATCTTCCTAAGTAGACCAGATTACATTTAGAACTGGGCTGAGCCTGCTTAGGCTCATTCTTGTCACCCTCCTGCCTAGATTCTTCCTGTCCTTGTGAAAAGAAAGGAAACTATGGTTCCTGGTCTGTCCTGTGCTCAAATCTGACCCTGCTCCTGACTACCCATGGTTGTAGATAAATCCCTCCCCTTCTCTGGGCTTCAGGCCTCCTCCCAAGGTCTAGCCACACTTAAGTGGCTATAAAAACAAAACTATATAGTAGGGTGTGGTGGCGCACACCTGTGATCCTAGCACTTAAGAGGCTGAGGCAGGAGGATTGCCTTGAGTTTGAGGCCAGCCTGGGCTCTATAGGGAGTTCAAGACCAGCCTGGACTACATAACAAGACCCTGTCTCAAAAACAAAAACTATCTGCAGAGTGCTGTGTGAGTTGCATGGGAACTTTTCAGTACAACCCATTTATTGGACTCTTCTGCTCACCATGATGATGTCACATCCCAGTTTAGTGGTTAAAGAATGTGACTTGACAGTTGGGCACAGTCACACACACCTATAATCTCACCACTCAGGAGGCTGAGGTAGGAAGATCACTGTGAGTTCAAGATAGCCTGAATTACAGCAATACCCTGTTCTAAGAAAAAGAAAACAGAATCTGACCTGGAAGCCAAGTACAGGAGCACATGTCTATAACTCCATCTACTCAGGAGGATTGCAAATTTGAGGCCAGCCTGAACAACTTAGTCTCAGAATTTTAAAAAGGGTTGGGAATTTATAGCTTAGTGATAAAGCACTTACCTTCAATGTGTGAGGTCCTCAAGACCGCAATTTTTTTTTTTTTTTTTTTTGGTACCAGGGATCGAACTCGGGTCCTTGGGCTTGTGCAGCAGGCAGCGAAACCACTGAGCTAAATCCCCGGCCCAATTTTTTTTTTTTTTTTTTTTTGTACTGGGGATCGAACTCAGGACCTTGTGCTTTCGAGGCAGGAGGTGGAACCACTGAGCTAAATCCCTGGCCCCATGGACTGCAATTTCAAAAAGACACCTAAAGCCAGGCTTTTGGGTTGGATCCTCACTTTGCTACTTAAGGAACACTATGCTTCCCTCACTTTAATATGGGGACAACAGAATTTTTTTCATAGGCTTATCATCAGGATTCAATGAGTAAATGCACATGAAGGGCATAGAATTGAGCCTACTATAGCTCACTTGTCTAGCACATGCTGGGTTCCAAGTTTGATTCCCAGCACTGCAAAAACAAAAACAAAACAAATTTCCAAGGCTGTAAAAAGTCACAATGTAACCGCTCTTGTAAGGTGGTCTGAGAGTGACCAGGCGCAATAGAAGGGATACTGTAAGTTCCTGAAAATCTGTTTACCTGGTGCTAGTTTCACAGTGTACTTTGTGTGAAATTTCATACTCCTGTGATGTAATTGAAACTATTTGCAATTCTGGTCTTTGTGTTATATTTCTACAGAGAGTTTTCAAAATATGTGCCTGATAAAAATTTCTGGGAGATCTTCAAAAAAGGCTTTGGAGGGGATGGGGTGCAAGCTTTTATCTCGAGAGGAAAATAGAAACCTAGACAGATCACTGGGGGTTAAGTTGTTAGATTTCCCTCGCCTTAAGATGGCTGCTACATAAAATGGCAGCCTTCTCCTTCCCATAATACCCTGCTTCCCACTTAAAAATATGGCTTCACCCGCCAAAAGACAACCTTCTTCCGAGCATGTCCCTCTTCCCACCAAAAGAATAACCTGATACTTCCTACCTCCTAGCAACTAGTTATGTCACAGCCTCCTCCTGTCCCTAGCCACTACATCATTCAACCCCACCCCAGCTCCTATAAGAAGCACTCCCTGTCATGGCCATATTGCTGCACTCCTTTATTCAGAGACAGCCCAGCAGATTGTCCCTGCAATAAAGGCTTGTTGTGGGTCTGGTCTGGTCCTGGTTTTCAGCTTTTTTACCTGACATATCTGGTGCTGAAACCTGGGAGGTAGGCATTCGATTAAGTGACGATCCCCCACAGGTTGGGGTAGATTGGCCTTTTGGCTGTCTCCTCAGGACCACATCTGCTGAGCCAGGACCTTCTCAGGGCTCTTTGCCTTTGTCATTGCCGATGCTACACATCCACACCGGTCACCAATCTCTGGGTGAGTAGGCAGTTCAGCCTCCCTCTCTACAGGTCCATTCTCTGCCTCCAGTGACTTCTCAAAAATCCAAGCATTTGGTCAGAGAGACCACTCAGCCACTGGGCCCAGGACCATGCCCCTGAGGGATGCCCCATCAGCCCGGCTCCTCTCATTCTCTCCCTTTAGAGACTCACTCAGAGATTGTCAAAAGAGACAAGAACACTCCTCTCTTTTGCCCTTCTCCTTGGTGTGTGACTGAAAAGAAGTTACTCCATTTTGTAATAAGGCCCCATCTTGTCTGCTTATGTTACAGGTCACCATGGGGACGTCAAGTTCCCTGAATGTATTGCTGTTGTTGTTCCAAGAAAAACCGCAAGATAGTCTTATGCCTGCTATGTAAAGATTAGTTGCAACACTCCCCTAACTGCCAACATCTTGCTTCTCTACTGCTGCTTGCCAAGTTCCCTATTGCGACTCCTATAAAAGGACCTCAGACTCTGAGCTGACCACCTCTCTAAGCTTGGTGCTTGGAGGGTGCTGTCTGGCCAGACTAATAAAGGTCTGTTTTACTTTCTCAATTTGTCCGGTGTGTTCCCTCCTGGGTGATTCTCACTGTAGTCAGCTCCTCAGAGCAGTTGGTAAGGCCCACGGTCTTACATTTGGAGGCTCCAGTGAGATCCCCCGGTAGGAACCCCCAATTCGGCCAAGACTCCATGGCGGGATCCAGCAGAAGACCTTCGGGCACAGACCTCAGGAAACCTCTGGAGGTAAGCTTTCGGCCGGTTGCAACCGTTTGTTAAGTCAGGAGTGAGGTGGCTGATGAGCTGGTAAGCCTCCCCTGACCCCGAGATTCCTGACGAGGAGCAAGGGAAGATTTAGTTTCATTTTGTCATGGCACCCGTTCATCTCATCTTTTGTATGTTAGGGTTGTGTCTGTTGTGTGTCTGATTTTACATTTTTTCAGTCCTCATCAGGAGCAGAGTAATGGAAGGATCATGTTCTACCGGGTCCACTCCACTTGACTGTTTTCTCACTAATTTTAAATTGGCTTTTTCTCCAGAACAAGAAGATGAATATGGGGTAAAATTTTCTCGCAAAAGACTCTGCTCCCTGTGCCAACTGGAATGGCCAGCCTTCGGGGTGGGATGGCCAGCCGAAGGGACTTTTGACCCCAGTATTTGCTGGGCGGTTTGGGGCAAGGTCACCAGTCACCCTGGCCACCCAGACCAATTTCCCTACATAGACATCTGGGTTCAAGCTTGTGAGGAACCTCCAGCTTGGCTGCGGTGCTGTTCCCTTCGAAAAAACACTCGCATTTTAGTCGCTGCCCTGAAAGGATCCCAGGGACTTAAGACCCGGGCTCCCAAGCCAGTACTCTTGCAGGAACTTGACCCCGTAGACCCCCTTGGGAGGGCCTCCACCCTATGTGGAATCCTCCTCCCTTTTTTCCTTTAAAACAGACAGAGCCCGGGGGAGGATTGATTTATGTCCCTTTTACAACTAGTGATCTTTACAATTGGAAACATCAAAATCCCTCCCTTCTCTGAAAAACCTCAGCCATTAATCTCTTCTTGAGTCTGTTTTTCATACCCATCAGCCAACCTGAGATGATTGCCAGCAGCTTTTACAGATCCTGTTCACCACTGAGGAGCTGGACCGCATTTATCAACAGACAGTCAAAGAGGCCCTGGGGCCAAACCCCGTCTTCACTCCTGGAACTCAGGGGCATTCAGCCAAGGCTGAAACAGTAGTTCTGTTGAAACACCTCCAATGGGACCCCAATGATGATGACGGTAAGAGGAGGCTGGGGACCTACCGCCAGCACTTATTAGGGGGACTCCGGGCAGTGGCCAGAAAGCCCATTAATTTGAATAAGGTAATTGAGGTCCGCCAGGGAAAAACGGAGTCTCCAGCTGCATTTTTGGAGAGACTCTTAGAAACCTATAGAGTTTTCACTCCTTTTGACCCAGAGGCTCCTGAAAATGCAGCAGCTTTAAATCTGGCCTTTGTTTCCCAGTCAGCCCCAGACATTAGAAAAAAAAAATTACAGAAATTGGAGGGATTTAAGGGAAAGAATAGGACAGAACTCCTGAGCATAGCCCAGAAAGTTTATGATAACCGTGATGCCCCCCGAGGAAGTCCTAGCCAAGAAACTGGGAAAAGTCACTATTGCTACACTCTAGGCATGAGAGACAGTCCCTCCGGACAGAAAAAGAGAAAGCTGCCTTTTTGGCTTTAAAGAAAGCCTTAGTGTCAGCACCCTCCCTGGCCCTACCTGATGTCACCAAGCCCTTTTGGTTGTCTGTGGCTGAACGAGGGGGCATAGCCAAAGGAGTGCTAGCTTAGGCATTAGGGCCTTGAAACAGACCTGTGGCCCACTGTCTAAAAGACTTGATCATGTGGCAAGTCTACCTATTTGAGGGCAGTTACAGCCACCGCCCTCCTGGTCAAGGAGGCAGATAAGCTCAGCCTGGGATGGGACCTGGTCATCACCACACCCCATGCGGTGGAAACATTGCTGAGAGGAGCCCCAGAACGATAGCTCTCCAATGCCTGCCTGACTCAGTACCAGGCCCTGTTGCTGGATGCTCCATGCATCAAATTCACCTGAGAAATGACCCTCAATCCGGCTACCTTTCTCCTGGACTCCAACTCATACATATGCCCCTCCATGACTGTCTGGACACTCTGACAACTTCCACCACCAACAGCCCAGATCTGACTGATGTTGCCCTGCAAAGCCCAGATGAGACCTTCTTCACTGATGAAAACAGCTTCATGGAAGACTGAGTCAGGTATGCGGGGGTGGCTGTAGTCAGTCCAGAAAAACAGGTACACTGGACACAGGCATTAAGCCAAAAGACTTCAACACAGAGGGCTGAACTAATAGCCTTAACTCAAGCCCTGTTAGGTCAAGACAAGGCTGTAAACATCTACACTGACAGCCGGTATGCATTCACCACTGCCCATGTACATGGCAACATCTACAGACAGAGAGGGCTATTGACATCAGAAGGGAAAACTATATAAAAAGTTTTGGCCTTATTGGAGGCAATTTGGAAACCCAGGGCGTTGGCCATTATTCATTACAAAAGCCACCAAAAAAAGAGACAGGTTTGAAGCCCATGGTAACCGAGAGGCCGATGATGCAGCCCAAAGGGTGGCCAAAGAACCAGTGGGGCCAATAGACACTCTGCCTGTCTGGCCCTTTTGGCTACCTGCCAGAAAAGCCCACATATACCCCGGAAGAGAAAGAGGAATATCAAAAGCAAGGGGGTGCAAAATTGGACTCAGGCTGATGGAAAGAGACAAAGAAACGAATTTGTCTCCCCCAAGCCCTGGGGTGACAACTTGTTCATCAGTTACATCACTTAACTCACCTGGGAAAATCAAAGTTAAAAAGACTAATGAGCTCTTAAGTTTTCAATCCCAGGACTGACCTGTATGGTCCAGGACATCAGTTCCAGGTGTCAGGTGTGTTCACAGTTAAACTCCAAGACAAGACCAAGGAACAAAGGTAATCGACTACAGGGAAGAGAGTCAGAGAAACATTGGGAACTTGATTTCACTGAAATAAAATCCAACACTAGGTTCAAATATTTACTGTTATTGGCTGACACCTACTCAGGTTGGGTAGAAGCTTTCCCCACTCCTGGAGAATCAGCCAACATAGTAACTAAGGTTTTGCTCCAGGAGATAGTTCCCCAATTTGACATCCCTCATTGCCTGGGGTCCGACAATGGGTCTGCCTTCACGGCACAGATATCCAAATTTTTGACAAGGGCACTAGATATTGATTAAAAGTTACACTGTGCCTATCGCCCACAAAGTTCAGGGCAAGTGGAAAAGAGAGATAGGACCCTTAAAAAAAACTCTGACTAAATATGTTCTAGAAACTGGCAGTAGGTAGCCCGATCTGCTTCCTCTAACCTTGTTAAGAGTTAGGTGTACCCCATATGTGACAAGTTTACCCCTTTTAAGTTAAACCTTGAACAGATAACAGAGAGTTCTTGTGTTGCTTTACTTCAGTCTCTTCAAGCCTTACAGATTCTTCAGAGTGAGATCCAGGCTACAAAACAACAGGCTCAAGAAAAAAAACCCTTTGCGACGTTCCAGTCCCACGGTTTCAAGCCAGAAGACCTGGTCCTGATGTGCTTGGTTTGCTTGCACCAAGGACTTGACTAAATACATTCCCAAATCAGTCTTGGCTACCCAATCTGCCGCTTTATTTTGTGTCACCATGTATGTTGTTCCACAAGTCTTGTATTATTTATGTTTTTATTTTTTTGTTACTGGGGATCGAACTCGGGTCTTTGCACTTGCACAGCGGGCAGCGAAACCACTGAGCTAAATCCCTGGCCCACAAGTCTTGTATTATAATAAAAAAGGGGCCCATGAACATCTGGGATTAACCACTGAACACTATAGGAGTAAACAGGCTGCCCCCATTTTAGTGCCCATTCTGGTGGGATTAAAAATAGCCAGGTCAGTGGCTATTGGAACTTCCTCCCCGATCCTTCAGGACACAAATTTTAAAGCCCTAAG